AATTCTCCCAGTTCCCAAATCTCCAAATTCCCAATTCTCCAAATTCCAAAACCCTCAAACCCTCAAATTCCAAATCCCCAAATTTCCAAATCCCCAAATTCCCAAGTTTCAAATCTCTAATTCCTCACAATCAAACCCCACATCCCCACATTCCTTACTTTCCAACCCCAAATCCAAAATCTGCACCGTCAACCGCCATTGACATCTCATAAACTAATCGATCACCTAAATGCCCATTTACTCAGAACGCAAAAGTTTGAAGTAGCTCCGCAACAGACAAAAAGCAGGGAAGAGTACAACGGTATTAGCGATCGTAACGTATCCGATCGATGATCAGCAATTCAAACATCCTCCGAAACTTCTTTCATAAACGATCGGGTGAAAATCTCGGCGAAATAGAATATTTAGGCCGGGACGATACAGGAATTGGTCGTAAGGACGAGGCGCATTACAGGTCAGGACGAAACTGTGCCGTTCCCGGCTTGATATTAATTTCACCGACGAGCGGAGTTCCCGGTGCAATTTTATTGGCCCTTAAGACGGCGCGCAACGATTTCATAATGCCGCCCGATCCCAATGAAACAGCAGTTCGTAGCAAAACGATCTGGCGGAGGTGGATGGAGACAGAAAGAAGGAGACCTTTTACGACAGAGCAATTTGCGAAAGAGTTCGTCGGCCGAAGAAATATTTAAATTCAATCCGGATGCAAGCAGTAGTAAAGCAACGCGTAGAAGCGAGACAAGAGTGGTCCATGGGGGTGGTAAACGCCATCCCTTCTTACTTTGATGCTCCTCTTTCCCTTCAGATTCGACGCGATAAAGATGTACTCGATTGTTGCTCTAACCGGAAAGAGGATGTTCCCTAGATTGCTGTAATAAACATTTTACGACCATCGATGCTCCCTGGTTTATTTGTTTATCGACCTGCCGTGTAATTAAGTCGACCCCGTATTTAGGGGTTTGTTAACGTTTCGGTGCAGCGAGCTCTGTGTCAATTTTCAATCACGGGTATGTTTGTGTACTTTCAGATGTGGGACGTTTACTAGGCGTTTAAGTGGCACATGACAAGTTGACAAATTTTTTAATTTTTAATATAAAAAGATACGAAAATTCAAGAAAGCTAATTCTCACAGGTTGACAAATTTTTTAATTGTTAACATGAACGAATATAAAAATGCAAAAAGTCTAATTCTCACAAGTTAACAAATTTTTAAATGCTTAACATGAAAAAATACAAAAATTCAAAAAGTCTAATTCTCACAAGTTGACAAATTTTTAAATTCTTAATATGTAAAAAATTACAAAAATTCAAAAAGTCTAATTCTCACAAGTTGACAAATTTTTAAATTCTTAACATGAAAAAATACAAAAATTCAAAAAGTCTAATTCTCACAAGTTGACAAATTTTTAAATTCTTAACATGAAAAAATACAAAAATGCAAAAAGTTTAATCTTTACAAGCTGACAAATTTTTAAATTCTTAACATGAAAAAATACAAAAATTCAAAAAGTCTAATTCTCACACGTTAATAAATTTTTAAATTCTTAATATGTAAAAAATTACAAAAGTTCAAAAAGCCTAAATTTCCAAATCCAAAGTCTCTTCATATCCCAAATTCCTGAATATCCTCAAATTCAAAAATGAAAAAAAATACCATCAGTCGCCCAATCCGAAAATCAGTTCAAGGTCGGCAATAAAAAACTGCCCCATCATCAAGAATGATTAACGAGCAGAAACCGGCCAATAAAATGAGGTTATATAATGTATTTGAATTACAACAATACATTACGTTTAATGCGGTTATCGAGCAAACTCGATAATAAATTGATTGTACCAGTAAATTGCATTCTCGCAAAGATTACTATCTTCAACGGGATCAATTTAAGATAATGTTTCCGTTAATTAGGTTCTCCGATCGACGAAGAATATCAGAAAGTTTCGTGGAAGAATAGATCAGAAGCGATGGAAGATGAAAGTGAAGCAGCGTAAAGGAAGAGAATTTTCGATCTGTTGCGGGCCGCGTAGGCGTGACGGCATCAAAGGTCTAATTTTCCGGGCGCTAATTCGAGTCGAACGGGGCCCGTGGAAAACAGAGGATCCCGGGGAAATCGATGCCAAAGATCGTCGAGATGATTTCGATCGTGGAGCACGTCAGCCGAAGCTCCGTCGCCGGAAACGAAGCGGCCGTTGCGGCGACGGTGAACAAAGCCCGCTCTAATTACTCCCCTTTATGATCTTTTCCGGCATCCAATCAGATTTCCTCGTTTTCCTCGCCCTCTGCCAGCTAATCTCGTTAACTCGTCCCAGCTAACGCCTTCCAACGACGATTCGACACGTGATATTGTCGTTCCACGGAAGTGAACGTGCTTTCCAACTTACGACTCGATGTGCGACTCGTATCAACCTATACTTCTGCAATTATTACTCTTTCTGTTTCTTGCAGACATGAGCTGATGAACTTACTTGTATCTACGTATACGCACATTATTATTATTCTTACGAAGTTGTCAAATTATTTGATGTTTGTAGAGGACATTCAGTGATTGTGACTGACTCTAATCAATATGATCTTGGAGACTATAAGGACTCTTTTGAAGTTGTGACATTATTAAACGTTTGTATAAGACAGTCTTTGGTTAACTGACTGACTACAATGAACATATACTTGCAGATACTAATTATTCTTTTAAAGTAGCAACATTAATAAACGTTTGTACCGGTCAGTCTTTGGTTAACTGACTGACTTCAATCAACATATACTTGCATACAATTATTACTCTTTCGAACATGCAAAATTATTAAACGTTTGTGTCAGATAGTCTCTGGTTAACTGACTGACTACAATGAACATATACTTGCAGACAATAATTACTTTTTCAAAGTAGCAACATTAGTAAACATTTGTATCAGACAGTCTGTGGTTAATTGACTGACTCTAATCAACATATACTTGCAGACAATCATTACTCTTTTGAAGATGCAAAATTATTAAATGTTTGTGTCAGACAGTCTCTGGTTAACTGACTGACTACAATGAACATATACTTGCAGACAATAATTACTTTTTCAAAGTAGCAACATTAGTAAACATTTGTATCAGACAGTCTGTGGTTAATTGACTGACTCTAATCAACATATACTTGCAGACAATCATTACTCTTTTGAAGATGCAAAATTATTAAATGTTTGTATCAGACAGTCTCTGGTTAACTGACTGACTCCAATCAACTTATACTTGCAGACAATTAGTACTTTTTTGAAGTAGCAACATTATTCAATGTTTGTATCAGATGGTTTCTAGTTAACTGTCTGACTTCAATCAACATATAGTTGCAAAGAATAATTACTCCTTCGAAGTTGCAAAATTATTAAACATTTGCATCAGACATTCACTGATTAACTGACAGATTTCAACATATTCTTGCAGACAGTAATTACTCTGTTGTAGCAGGTATGTCACCTACTATGTCTAACCTTCAATATACCTAGACTGTGGCTAACAAATAGTAGCCTTCGTTAAAGTATTGAAGAAGATAAAATTAATAAGATTTGAAGACTTGATAGTGAAAATATATGAAGACCAATATCATGACCCCGTAAACGAATAACGTAATCTATTAATTAAGGAAAGAAGCAGAACTGCAAAGCTAACCTCAGAG